TTCAGTATCTGTCTATATTTCTGAGATGAGGTATTATGTACATTATTTACATTATTCAGACTATTGCCCTCATCTTTGTCTCCATATTTATTACAACGTTTCGGCCTTTCAGTATCTGTCTATATTTCTGAGATGAGGTATTATGTACATTATTTACATTATTCAGACTATTGCCCTCATCTTTGTCGTGTAATTTATTGCAACGTTTCGGCCTTTCAGTATCTGTCTATATTTCTGAGATGAGGTATTATGTACATTATTTACATTATTCAGACTATTGCCCTCATCTTTGTCGCCATATTTATTACAACGTTTCGGCCCTTTCAGTATCTGTCTATATTTCTGAGATGAGGTATTATGTACATTATTTACATTATTCAGACTATTGCCCTCATCTTTGTCGTAATATTTATTACAACGTTTCGGCCTTTCAGTATCTGTCTATATTTCTGAGATGAGGTATTATGTACATTATTTACATTATTCAGACTATTGCCCTCATCTTTGTCGTAATATTTATTACAACGTTTCGGCCTTTCAGTATCTGTCTATATTTCTGAGATGAGGTATTATGTACATTATTTACATTATTCAGACTATTGCCCTCATCTTTGTCTCCATATTTATTGCAACGTTTCGGCCTTTCAGTATCTGTCTATATTTCTGAGATGAGGTATTATGTACATTATTTACATTATTCAGACTATTGCCCTCATCTTTGTCTCCATATTTATTGCAACGTTTCGGCCTTTCAGTATCTGTCTATATTTCTGAGATGAGGTATTATGTACATTATTTACATTATTCAGACTATTGCCCTCATCTTTGTCTCCATATTTATTGCAACGTTTCGGCCTTTCAGTATCTGTCTATATTTCTGAGATGAGGTATTATGTACATTATTTACATTATTCAGACTATTGCCCTCATCTTTGTCTCCATATTTATTACAACGTTTCGGCCTTTCAGTATCTGTCTATATTTCTGAGATGAGGTATTATGTACATTATTTACATTATTCAGACTATTGCCCTCATCTTTGTCTCCATATTTATTGCAACGTTTCGGCCTTTCAGTATCTGTCTATATTTCTGAGATGAGTATTATGTACATTATTTACATTATTCAGACTATTGCCCTCATCTTTGTCTCCATATTTATTGCAACGTTTCGGCCTTTCAGTATCTGTCTATATTTCTGAGATGAGGTATTATGTACATTATTTACATTATTCAGACTATTGCCCTCATCTTTGTCTCCATATTTATTGCAACGTTTCGGCCTTTTCAGTATCTGTCTATATTTCTGAGATGATTATTATGTACATTATTTACATTATTCAGACTATTGCCCTCATCTTTGTCTCCATATTTATTGCAACGTTTCGGCCTTTCAGTATCTGTCTATATTTCTGAGATGAGGTATTATGTACATTATTTACATTATTCAGACTATTGCCCTCATCTTTGTCTCCATATTTATTGCAACGTTTTAAAGCTTTCAGTATCTGTCTATATTTCTGAGATGAGGTATTATGTACATTATTTACATTATTCAGACTATTGCCCTCATCTTTGTCTCCATATTTATTGCAACGTTTCGGCCTTTCAGTATCTGTCTATATTTCTGAGATGAGGTATTATGTACATTATTTACATTATTCAGACTATTGCCCTCATCTTTGTCTCCATATTTATTGCAACGTTTCGGCCTTTCAGTATCTGTCTATATTTCTGAGATGAGGTATTATGTACATTATTTACATTATTCAGACTATTGCCCTCATCTTTGTCTCCATATTTATTGCAACGTTTCGGCCGTAAAAACTTCCCACGAAACTTATGTATGCATGTATGATAAAAATATAGTTTTAAGTATGCTATTTTTATGAGTAAAAGTGGCCATTGACATCAACTCAGAGCGACGACAATATACAAACTGCTGGTTAATGGTGCATTATGGGTAGCGGGACCTATTGAATTATCCTAATAGTTATTAGTTGGGTGTTAATGGTTATATTTCCAATTATTCTAAAGTAGAAAAATTGTGAATCTGAATGAGGTTATTTGTCGCTATTGTACAGTGTTGTTTGATCAATTTTTATTCATTATTGATTTCTTAATTATTGGTTATTATTATTATTATTAATATTATTAATATTAAATTTGTAGCGATTCCATAATGTTGTTCGTTAACTTTAATTAGTGTTTGTTATTGATTATTATTGTTGTTTTTACTACATTTACTTTTGTTTATATGTGCATTATATGTGCATTGTTAATTTGTTTATGATTTACTTAATTTGCTTAATTATTTATTGATTTAGATTCTTTGTTCATTTTATTTATTTTATCCCGGGGGAGGTTATCTTATTTGTTTAGTATAACGTATGTTGCATAATCTCATGATCTGCGTTGTATATACTGTGTATATTTGCATTTTCATTGTGATATTTTACAAGGTATTCGTTTTTAGTTTTCGATATTTTAATAACACAGTAAATAACTGTTTTTTGTGTCTGCATTTTGCTATATGTTCTGATCGTTTATTTAGTAGTTTGTTTTGGCCTGAGATGGTTATTATAGCTATTTTCTACTGCAGGCAGATTTTGGATTTCTTGTTGTAGGCTGATGCTGTTTTCCATATTTCCTATGATATTTTTGGTGTAGTTTGTTTTGTTTTTTTAACTTCTCATGTATGTTAAGAAAGCAAACTGCTGTTTACATATTTACTATTTGTAAAGATGTTCTGTGTGCGTATTTTCTGTGTCCAGGGTCCTTCACTTTTTTTTTTATATCGGTTTCACCCCATGCAAGGCAGTAAAGCCACTACTAAGACACAAGAGGTTATAGGCTGTGGAAGAATTAAGAATAGAAACATTAATAATGAGCCATAAGAGAAAAGAGTAATCAGGAGCATATTAGATAGCGATTGACATTGCATTTAAATGTATGCAGATTAAAGTCTGAAAAGCAAGGAACCTGAAAGGAATTCCACAAGCGATAAGTGCAAGAAAAGAAAGTTACAGCTACATCTAGCCAGCTCAACTTTCAGCTGATGAGATTTCGACGCCAGTCTAGTATTGCGCTTAAATTCAATATAGTCTAGGTACCATAGCGAAGAGCTCATCCGACCAATTACCATGAAAGGTACTTATAAAAAAAAGGTACAGAGAAGCAACTTTACGACGGTGGGCAAATGTCTGAAGCCGCGCCGCCAGATCAGGACCAATAATATTGCTGATTTTTTTTAAAATCTTAACAAGTAGCTCCAGGAAAATAGCAGGGGCTCCGTACCATATATGACAGAAATATTCTAAGCATGGACGTATGGTAGACTTATAGATATGCAAGATAAATTTCGGAGAGAAAAATTGTCTCGCCCGACACAGTGAACCGACTTTCTTGTCAGCTGATCTAGCAAAGGATTAACTGTAGTCTTTCCACCACAGGTCAGCTGAGAACGTTAGCTCGAGAAGGCGTTAAAATTGACAAGCCATCTGCCTCAGTTAACGACGGTCTTGAAGTCCTTTTGGACATCGGCCCCCATTTTGAGCTTGTCTGACTGATCAGCCTTACTTTCGAGGCAAAACTAAATGGTTGTGTCTTCAGCGTTGATACGTTGATCAGATATCATCGAAAAGGTCAGTAATGAAAATTAAACACAATCTAGAACCGCGTTAGTACAAAAGGATCTAGAGGAGTGGTCGTTCAGGATAACCTTCAATGCATGATTTGGTAGTTTGTGGAGACGTGTACGTCTATCCACTGAATCTAACGTCTATAGCAATAAAAAATAATATCAGAATAAAATGATTTGCTTAAAAATTATATATTCATATAATATATAGAAATATATAAGTGGACATTGAGGACAATACAGAGTGGCGACGGTCTGTTTCATGCGTGAACACAATCTTCAGGCCATGTGTGTTGTGTTTTGCCTCGACTATTTATATATACTGGTCAATGAGGCATTATCCGTAGCAAGGTATATTCTATTACCCTATCAGTTATTGGGTAGGCGGTAACGAATGTAAAAGCAGCAGATAACGAAGAAAATATCTTTGTCTTTTGTGAAACGAATTTAAGTTCTTCCACTGCTACCAATGAATTCTTGGTACCAAACATTCTTGTGATTTTAAATACTGAACTTAACGCCAACTAACCTAGAGCCTATCAGAGAAAATATGCTACCCGACAGAAATTGATCGTGTATTCCTTTTTTCCATCGAAGAAACCATTTTTCAAGCTGAAGTGTACCCTACCAATTTGGCTATTGCAAGTCATCATATTTCAGCAGGATTCAATTACCTACCTAAAAATACGCATCTAGCGTTAGGACGTTTTGAAGTATATATTCGTTAACTTTATTTTTCAGTCTATGCATTGGCTGCACATCGTTGTGCACGGCCGATGAAATTCAAAACCCATAAGGAAAGATTGAGTAGCCACTGTTTTGAGAGGAGTAAAAGAAGTTATTTTGATGGGCCAATTAATTACAGAATATTTAAATCACCTCGCAGAACCCATTCAAGATTGACGTTAAAAAGAAAAATAATGATGGAGAAAACATCTCTTTTTTGCATAACAATGCATCTGCTTACTGGAAGGGCAAGATGGTGTATGTTTTGAAGAATGTGTAGCTTGCGGAAAGAGACCAACCGCCATATTCTTGCTATCTTTTTGGACTATTTTCTGTCTTCCAAAGTTTAGACAGAATTTGAAAGGGAAGAACTTTTTGAACAAATCATTTTTTTAGGTTAAATAAACTTGGAAATCGACGCGCTAAGTTTCTGCAAGAGACTCTATGGAATGGGGTGGATGTTCCCAGGTTCTAGGTCATTGAATTCTTGGCCAGGCCAGGAGATTTTCCGCACCCCTTTGTATAAAGATTTCTCTAGACTGTGTTCGTCTATGCCTAGATTGAAACAGATAAAAACATATATAGAAGTATGTGACACACCAGGGAATAGATATACGAACATGCACACAACACACGTAGATAGATAGATAGATAGATAGATAGATAGATAGATAAGAATTTTCAGTTACCTTTTTATTATTACTGATATTATATTTTGGTTGTAAGTAGCAATTAAGAACAGGGTTTAGAAAATACAGAACATTGTCTGAAAAGGTTAAAAGCTCAAACATTTGCACAACGGCACCATTCTGTTCTCCATTGCCACTCATTTACCATTCATTAACCTCTCATAATATGATATCCTCTCTGAACACTGTATATATATATATATATATATATATATATATTAAGCGTTATTTTTAGTGGCTATTGTTAGTGGATATGCTTTCCTTCTGCAAAAGATGGGAACGTAGGTTCGAATCCTGCGGAGTTGGGGGGGGGCATTTTCTTTAGCAAATTTTTTTTCGAGTACGATGTCCGGTACAAGAAATAAGCACTGTTTAAAGTAAACGGAACGTCTACACAAATACGGGTATCTACCCAAAATTATGTTTGAAGCAATAAAAATATGTGTATGTGTGTGTATTGAGTACCCATATCGAATATATATTTCAGTATTTTATGATATATATATATATATATATATATATATATATATATATATATATATATATATATATCATAAAAATACTGAAATATATATTCGATATGAAAGAGGAAAGAGAGAAAAAAGGTAAAAGACGGAACATTTGAGAGAGAGGGGGGGAGAGAGGGAGAGAGGTAAAGAGAGGAGAAAAAGGTAAAAGACGGAACATTTGAGAGAGAGAGGGGTGAGAGAGAGGGAAAAGAGTGAGAGAAAAGGTAAAAGACGGAACATTTGAGAGAGAGGGGGGGGAGAGAGGGGGGAGAGAGGAAAGAGAGGAGAAAAAGGTAAAAGACGGAACATTTGAGAGAGAGGGGTGAGAGAGAGGGAAAAGAGTGAGAAAAAGGTAAAAGACGGAACATTTGAGAGAGAGGGGGGATAGAGGGGGGGAGAGAGGGGGAGAGTGAGAAAAAAGGTAAAAGACGGAACATTTGAGAGAGAGAGGGGGAGAGAGGAAGAGAGTGAAAAAAAGGTAAAAGACGGAACATTTGAGAGAGGGAGAGATGGGGAGAGAGAGAGGTGGGAGAGAGAGAAAATGGAAAAGACGGATCATTTGTGAGAGAGGGAGAAAGAGGGAGAGGGGAGAGAGAGAGAGAAAAAAAAGGGGAAAGAATGTTAATAAACTAAGATCGATGGCCAGAAAGAATATACTGAGCTACATATAAACATAAAAGAAAGAAAGAAAGAAAGAAAGAAAGAAAGAAAAAGCAAGCTCAGCTATATATTTGTAGAGTCGAACGGTGGGGGGCATTTTAAGAAATGCACATTTACAAGAATCAAAAGATACACTTTTACAATTATGAATTTTTCACAATTGATATGAATTAATTAAAGTAAAATGTCTTTTAATTTCCTTTAACGTTCACTCGTTGTCTCCTCCCATTATATTTCATTCTTAAAAATGTCTCCACTATGTCACGTGATTCTTTATCAACACGAAAAAAGCGTGAGGACATCTAAATGAACCCCTCAAAACACATCAGTACAGGTTCGTTATATACCCTTATGCGCAAAAACCCTTTGAAAAGATATGAATCCATCTCGTCCCCTCGAAGCTATGAGTTGAATAGTAACAGAGACTGGATCCTATAGCCTTGGTTGGAAACCAGTCTACCACTAAAAGAAATGGCAACCTACTGCGGGAACATCTTCTGCCTAGTCAGTCATGAATCGAAGGAGACATGATTGCCCAAACGTATATCACGTGCTAACATTTTTTTGTTTTTGTTTGCTTCAAGGTTCAAGAACAATAAGCTGATCAGTTACAACAAACAGCTGATTGGCTGGATACTTCCTACATGTGGTTGGCATACGAACACAGATTAAAGCTAAAAAATGGATTGGCCAGCAAGACAATGTTTGAAGATTTTGGCATTGGAAAAGTACAGAGAGAGAAAAGATAAAAGATATTAAAAAATGCCTGAAGACGTTAAAGTAACGAAAACAGCACATTTCAAGTAAACATCACATCGATAAATAAACATATTTCTTCGGCTAAAAAGTAGATAAAATTGATCTCAATATTGCGGTAACTTTTAATGGTGTACGTCAAACTATATAGAATAGAGTTAATGGCTTACTCAATAATGGAACTCTCTTCCGACCTCTTGCTTTCCTGTCAACTTCGATCTTGAAAAGTTGAAATGAAATGACGATCATCATCATTTACCTGATTTAATCCTCTTATTTTATTGTCTTCTCTCCTTAATAATGCGTCTTAGTCGCTTTATCGCCTTGCTTGGGATGAAATGATTAAAAGAAAAGAAGAAATGGGTTACTTCCGGTGGGTAACAACGAAATAAAAGAGAGGAATGAGGTGGAATAATGTTTTGCAACAATATTATAGGCAGTAGGATTATAGGCAGTAGAATTATAGGCAGTAGAATTATAGGTAGTAGAATTCCCTTTCTTTTTTCTTTTTCCCTCTATAGTTTCTTGCCTGCTTCCATCTCTGTTGCGTCTTTTTTTACTTCCTTTTTCTCTATCTCTTTCTCCTCACACTTACAGCTATCGTTTCTCCTACACTTTTGGTCTCCTCCCTCTTCAATCTTTCTTTCCTTCTATTCTTTTGCTTCTCCTTCCCCTCCTCTGTCTTTCATCATCTCTTTCTAGTTTTCTTTTCATCTTTCGCTTCCCTTTTCAATTCCTCTTTTCCTTTTCTCCTCTTTTTTCGCGTTCTTTCTTTTCTTTTTATCTCTTGCTTGTTATTTCTTCTTTTTCTTTTTCCTTTATCTTCTTTCTCCAGTTACATCCATCACACTTTCCACCTATTTTCCATTCCATGTTTTCTTCTCGTTCGTCTTTCCTTACGCTTCTCTCTCTCTCTCTCTCCCCCCTCTCTCCCCTCTCTCTCTCTTATTCATTATTCATGTCTTTTCTCTTACTTTTATTCTTTTGCTAGCTTTATTCTTTTTTTTCACTCTCCTTTTGTTAGAATTTTACCCGGAACAAATTCCTCCATTTTTCTTTCTCTGTTTTTTTTCTTCCCTAAATACCCCCTCCTATTTCTTTTTTCCATTCCTCGACATCTTTATCTCATTCCCATCATTTCTTATCAGCACGAAGAACATAATGTCATTTTCTTTCAAGTAAATTGCTGACAGATATTTCCACGAAAGCCCGAGTGAGAAGATTACAAAAAAGAAACGAAACGTCGACTAAAAAAATCAACAAGCAGACATTTTTTCTTTTCACCAATTGTTTGGCTCGATTAGAAAAACATCTGCCACTATCAACTTCAGCCTTACAAAAAAGAAGGAAAAAATGTCTCCAGTATCCGTCTTGTAAATTCATCTCTAAGACTTCTGATTAACCCTAAGGTTTTTTATGCTAAAAAGAAAACAATAAAAGACAATGGCAGAAAACAAAATGGAAGAAAGACAACCGGAAATATAGTTTGTTTTGTCAACAAGAGACGTGCGGCGAATCACACTCCAATACATTTTTTTAATCATTTCAGCCCAAGAAAGGCAATAGAGCCAGTAAAGGGGTTACTAAGTATAAGAGAATATGAGAAAAAGAAAACATCATTAAGGAGAGTAAACAATAAAATAACAGGAAGACGACAGACGATAATGATGGCCTTTAAATTCTTGAAGATCAAAGTTAACTGGATAGCAAGCCGTCCAGAGTAAGAAGATAAACTTCGTCCGGCGGCAAGGCCTCTAATCAGGAGGTTTTGAGGAGCGTGGAACTATCTCTTAATCGCCCGTGTTCCTAGGTCCACCCTGACACAGGGTGGTAGCACCTGTTAGGGTCCCAGATATGGGCAAATAGATAACCTCCAAACTGGGTCAAAACACTATGAAACTATAAAAATAGGTTTTAATACCAGCAATATATTTTTGTAAAAAATTATTACCAGAAATGGATTTTTGGAGAAAAAGTTATTACCAGCAATACATTATTACCAGCAGTACATTTTTGAAAAAATATTACCAGCAATAAATTTTTGAAGAAAACAATATTACCAGCAATACATTTTTGACGGAAAAAAATATTACCAGCAATACATTTTTTTTAAAAAAAATAATACCAGGAATAAAGAAAGAAATTTTACCAGCTATACATTTTTGGAAAAAATATTACCAGCAATAAAAATCTTGTCGGTATCAAATAACCCATTGAGGTTGATAGGCCGTAAAACAAAATAAACAAACCAATGGAAAGTAAGAAGCCAGAAGAGAGTTCCACAAGCAAGAAGTGAAAGAGAAAAAACTGTTACCATAGAACTTAAGGTTACATCTAACCATTTCAACTGTAAAATGAGACCAATCTAGTACTGAACTTAAATTCATAACATCAATGTACCATAGCGGAAAGCTCATCAGAGCAATTACCATGAAAATATTTATAGTAAATGGCATAGGGAAGCTACGGTGGGAAATTGACTGAAGCTAGGATGCCATGTCAGGACCGATAACATTGCAGATTCTTTTTTGGATTTTTATGAAGAATCTCTAATCGCATAGTAGAAACACAAGACCAGATGCAACAGCAATATTCAATACCTGGACGAATGGTAGATTTTTTAATCTGTAAGATAGATTCTGGCGAGAAATACATGGAAAACGTTAAGTAAATAGTAGCCTAACAGGAATCGAAATTCTCTGATCCCTCATAATTTAATAAAAGATTAATATGAGATAATTTGGTTGTTTCCAGATGTTTAGCCAATGTTCTTAATATTCTGCATCTGTTGTAACTTTTTACATTCACAATACAAACTTGAAATAGTTTTTTTGCTGTCCAATTCAGTTGGCTTTATTTGGGATTGAATCCCAACTACACGTAGCAGAAGCTAACATGCTAATTATTGTAACTGATCGAGTTATCGTCGAAATAATCTTTGAAGTGACGTAAGCAAATATTTCCGGAAGAGAGCAAGGGAACTGAGCGAAGCATTTGATGTTATATCTGGTCTATCAAAATATATGTTCTATTGATAACAGTTCTAAAATAACGGAACAGTAACAACTGACGTATTCACCCGAATGACCAGTTAAATTACAAGAAACACTCTATCCATCGAATTCAGAATAAGATTTAAAAATGGAATTATCATCAACTATTGGGAAAAACCAGAACAGAAAACATTAACATTATTTGAAACTGTCAAAAATATTATAAGAAAACAAATTAGATAGATAGATAGATAGATAGATAGATAGATAGATAGAGAGAAACAGACTGAGATAGATAGATAGATAGATAGATAGATAGATAGATAGATAGATAGATAGCGGAACAGAATTAGATACATTGTCCAAATCGTATAACAGCAAAATTGTCCAATTGTTAGATTAAGCTCTAAACCATTGTATCTTAGAAATGATTAAAGATATATGGAATTCTTTCAAGATCATTTTTCAACTTATTCAAGATGATATTCGCCCTCTATAACTTTCTAACTTTCTGTCCTGGAGTAACAAGGTACCTCACATGTTTCACGTACGATTTCATTTTCAAGTTTGTTTTTTTACTGCTCTTTGGACTAACATAGCTGAAACACTTCCCATATGCCAAACGTCTCCTGGATTGAGTTGGATCTTTTCTAATTGATATCTTTAGCTCTAAGTTGAAATGATGAACCCGCTTCCTGTTGCGATCTACTGATCCAATTTTCCTCGCAACAGTTTCCTCTTTTTTAAACTTATTCACCATTCTCTTGATGGTTCCTGAATGGATTTTGAACATGGAATCCAGACTACGAAGGTTCGTACCATTACTGAAGGCTTGAATGGTTTTTCCTCTCACCATTGCTCAGTTAGGAAGACAGTGGGATTGGCACAAAACGATCAGTGATTCTTACGACAAATGGAGTCAAGTTGGCTAAATGACTTATGAAAACCTGGAAAAAAGAAACTCAATTAGTTTATTGTTTTTTTAGATATCAAACATTTTGTGGGATGGACAATTATGCTATAACACGATTTGGACAATTTTGCTGTTACATCCGATATATATATATATATATATATATATATATATATATAACTTATGGTGTGATAATTTTCCGAATTAAGTCTATGAGTGATACAAACAATTCGGTTATGAAAAACAATAGAGTCCCTCACCACAACTCCTACCGTAACCAAAAAATAATCCAAAATGTCGAATACTATTCCGAGATAAGATTGTATCTAAAAATAATTTTGGGATTATTAGTGTTCTTTTTCCAAAAACAGTTTAGCACGCATAGAATATGTCAGATAGTTCAAGGACAAACACACCAAAGTGACGATACTTTTT